CTGTCAGCTCTGCATTTTTTTCATTATTAACTGAGGAAAGAAACAAAAAGAAGTCAGAAGGAGCCAAATCAGGACTGTAAGGAGGATGCCTAACATCAGAACGCTCATAAAATTGCTCTTGTTTGATGAGAGGAATGAACAGGAGCATTGTCATGGTGGAGGAGGATCTCAGGTGAAGTTTTCCTGGGTGTTTTTCTTCTAAATCTTTGGCTAACGTTTTCAAAACACTCTCATAATAAGCAGATGTTAACATTTGTTGGCCCTACAGAAAGTCAACAAGTAAAATGCTTTGATCATGGCCAAAACTGTTGCCATGATCTTTGCTCTTGACTAGTATACTTTTGCTTTGACTAGAGCACTTAATGCCTCTTGGCAGCCATGGCTTTGATTGTGCTTTGTCTTCAGGATTGTACTGGTAAAGCCATATTTCATCTCTTGTTACTTTAAAGAAATGCTTCAGGATCTTGATGTTACTTGTTTCCAGTTTTCATTGAAAACTCTGTTTTTGTCTGCAGATGATCTGGGAGTAATGGTTTTTGCATACGTTGAGTAAAAAATTTGCTCAACTTTGATTTTTTCAGTCAGAATTGTGTGAGCTGAATCAATTGAGTTGTCTGTGGTGCTATTGTTTCTGCTGTTAATTGTCAATCCTCTTCAATTAGGGCACGAACAAGATTAATTTTTTCTTCACAAATTGATGTGGATGGTTTGCCACTATGGGCTTCATCTTCAACATCATTTCATTGCTTCTTAAAACAAGTTATCCATTTGTAAACTGCTGATTTCTTTGGGGCATTTTACTCCTAAAGTTTTCATAAGCATCAGTGATTTCACCATTCTTTTACCCAAGTGTCAACATAAATTTGATACATTTGTTTTTGCTTCAATTTTAGCAAAATTCATTTGCTCTCATAGGGGCTCTTTTCAAGCTGATGTGTTATCCTTCTGAGAGCCTCACACTAGATCCTATTCAGACATGTTATAACAAGTTAGTATGAGTTTGTTTGGCAAAAAAAAAAAAAAAAAAAAAAAAAAAATAAAAAAAAAAAAAAAAAAAAAAAAAAAAAAAAAAAAATTGAAACACATGCATAGTTTTCTCATGTTTTCCATGTACTTTTGAAAACATCATGAGATATACACACACAAGCCCAACATAGAGTCTTCCACCTTATTCTTTTCTAAACCTTCTTTATCTCCCCATAATTCCATAAAATAGTGTATAACAGACTTGGCTTTGGCATATTGGACTCTTAGCCCAACTTAGTTATTTTTCAGCTTTAACTTTGGTGACTCATTTGTGCTCAGTTCTGATTCAGACAATGGAAAACTATTTTAGCAAGAGCTGAACTGATTTTTATTCCCCTGTTGATGTCCAAAGCTCAGTCCACCATCATGCACTGTGCATTCACATTCTCTTTTGCTGGCCAAATTCCGAACGAGCATTGAATTGACGAAACATGTACTAAGTGCATTCTGCAGATGCAACTGAAGACTAAATTTTGGAGATCTTATCTTCCCAAAGAATCCCCTATAAAAAAAAAAAAAAGGAAAAAAAATTTCTTTTTCTACTAAATAGCCCAGTTTTCCAATCACATGAATATTCTGGAGTATTTTTGGAGAGAACCAGATTTATTGAAGAGTTGTTGAGTCCTTTAAAATGTGGTTTTTTTTTTACCCCAGATATAGGCAAAGTTAAATTTATTCTCTGAATATAATCATCAGAGTAAGAAGGTAAGAGTCAAGAAGATAACATTTGTTGGACTATGGGTTCAGCTGTGTGCAACAGAGACCTAAAGTATCAATGGCTTAAGCAATATTGAGGTTTATTTCTATTCCATGACAATGTGTGAGTTTGCAGCCAAAGACTAGTATGGTGGGTCCATGGTGTCAAGGACCCAGGTGTCTCCCGTCTAGCTTCATTATCTCTAGGGATGGCCATCATCATCTGCATGGTCTAGACAGGAAAGAGGAGGATAGGGATACTCCCTCCCCAGAGGTTGCACCCAACACTTCCCCTTACATACACATACATACACACACTCCAGCTGCAAAGAAGGCTGGGAAATGTCTTTATTTTGTGCAATCAGTAAAAACCGAGATTCTGTCAAGAGAGAAAGAGGACAGACATTGAAGAAAAACAAGTAGACTTTCCAACATATTGCTGAAAATTTTTAAATTTCAGGAGGGACCATAGTGGGCCAGGCAGAGAAGAATCATTATCTCACCCAAAGAATGACATTGGGCTTCAAGCATCTAAGCCACTATCAAAAAGGTTGGTGCTCTTGCAGGTTTTTCTTTAGAGGGCATCTGTCAAGCTGAGAGAACACTTCTCTAGGTGGCCTTGAGCCGGCATTACTGACCCACTCAATCAGAGCTGTCCTGCAGCCTCGTTAGCACATCATAAGAACCCAGAGTGGAATTCTGGGCTGGAAGAGCTGGACAGAAAGTGGAGGGAGAAGGTCCTCCCAGCGGCAAAGCTAATTAAAAGCAGAAACCTGTTTTCCACATGCACCTCCTCAATATGCACACATGCTGCTTTCTTGTCATTACATGCCTCACTTGTCACCAAAGCATTTTCAATCAATTCCTGGGTGTTGTTCTTATATCTTTAGATTTAGCACATTCTTTCTTTAGTGCTCCTCCCTTTTATTCCTCCAGCTGCTTAGCACAATTTTCTTCAGCATTTAAACAAACCCACATACATTCCCCTCCCCCTACTTTTCTTTTTTAAATAAAGCAAATGCTGCTTTCTTTTAACCAAAATAAAAGAGCCATAGACAATTCCATCTTTTAGGTCCACATGGCAGATCTCAAGTCAAGCATTCGTTTTCTACCTGTGTGGAACTTTAATTAGTTTAAGTGGGAGGTCTGTGCCAAGAAACAGGCACCACATCACAGTTGGAATCTGCAGAGCAGATTTTTTCTCTTAATAATGCTCTTTCAAACTGAATCCCGCTTGCAGTTTTGATACCGAAAACATGCGTATTAAACAGCTACGAGTCATTTCCAGGTCGTTCGCATTAACCATGAGCTTTCCTGACAGCCTTGACCCATAACAGCAGACCTCTGTGTTTGAAGTGCCGTATGATTTACAGAGCATTGCACATGCATTGTCTCCTGTCAGCTGCACACTTAGCCTGCTAGGAAATAATATCACCCCCATTTTGGTGATGAAAAAATTGAGGCCTGGAATGGTTAAGTGACAGAGAATGAACTAAAACTGGGTCCAATCTGTCTGTGTTGCTAATGTAAGATGTTAAAGAACTGTCTTCGGTTAAAAGAGAATGAGTATCTATTTTTAACAATGTGCTAAATGTTCTTTTCTTCTTTCCATAGTCCAAGATTGTCCCAAACTTTGATTTGATATAATTATTTTCCATAATCCTCTAAGTCAGGCTTTGAAATTCTTCTCTGCCTCTGGGTCTTGGTTTGCTTTGAGGTAAGGATGGCCAGCATGGATCTTTCTTATATAATCTCTAGGTTTTATATTTTAGTTCCCTACCTGAAAATGTGTGATGCCACTTTGAATCTACGACAGTAAAGGAAAACAATATTCTCATATATGCTATTTAAGAGTTAGATATTTAAGATCAAAGGAACTATATGTAAATATCACTTATCCAGAACTTTTCTGAATATTGCATTTCTCATGGAAATGCTGGATTTTTTTTTTTTTCTTCTTGAGACAGAGTCTTACTCTGTCTCCAGGCTGGAGTGCCATGGTGAAATCTCTGCTCACTGCAACCAACGCCTCCTGGGTTCAAGCGATTCTCCTGCCTCAGCCCCCTGAGTAGCTCAGGTTATAGGCACATGCCACCACACCTGGCTAATTTTTGTATTTTTAGTAGAGATGGGGTTTCACCATGTTGGTCAGGATGGTCTTGATCACCTGACCTCATTATCCACCCACCTTGGCCTCCCAAAGTGCTGGGATTACAGGTGTGAGCCACTGCGCCCCGCCAATGCTGGATGTTTTTAAGCGACATTATCTGTTATAAAACAATTTGAGAAAAAGGAAAAAAATTTCACAAAGATAACAAGAACTGTGTGTGTGTGTGTGTGAAGTAGCCAGTTTTCACAAAAAGTGCTGTTAGCAGTTTATAAGACTGCTAGAAAATGTATTTTATATTAAAAATCACTAAGAGCACAGTCATTGTTTTAAAGATGCTTTAGAATGGGAATAAAAGTTCAATCTTTTTAACATGTGTCAGCATGTATCGGGTGTGCTCTTTTAAAGAAAAATTTCAAGTATTATAAAATATAAGAAACTTTAAAACTGTGTCATTTATAATGTAAAATTAATTCAGTGGCTGACTCATAGCTCCCACATTCATCTTCAGTTCTCTTTAGCTCATATGGTTTTCTTTAAAAATTAGTGATATCAGCTAAATGGAACTGTTTTCCCCTCCTACCCACAGAGAAAGTGCTTTTGTGAACATGTCAGTCCTGTTCCATCATTACATGCCATCATGCAATGCCACAGAAGCAGGCTGGCCGTGCATACTTGATAACCAGTATTAGTACAGATTCGAGAGCAAAGTCCAAGGAGATGATACTGTATTTCCATCTATTTGTTTTATGCACATAAGCTGCCTTTTTAGAACCAAGGAATTTTCTATCTAGACAAGATCTTGGAAGTCTTCCAATGTAGCCTCTTTATTTTGCACATGTGGAAACTGAGGCACAAATAGGTTCAGCAACTTGTTCTGTAAAAGCCCGGCAGATGTAGGAAGCTAGCTCTCTGATCTTTCCGGAGATCTTCTCAACTCAATTCTGCAAACAATTGAGGCTTTCCCAGACTAAGCAGTTACCAAAGAGGTATTTCATCTGTTTGTTCTGAAAATGCAGCTGCTCTCTAGATTTATGTGTGCTCTGATAAGAGATATTTTGTCTAACAATAAAAATCATTCCCTTTGATGAATATTGTTTTTGCTTTGTGTTCTAAGAATGATATTTCATGTCTGTTTCATAGTAGCATTGTCCCCACTAAGCAAATTCTACTACCAGTTTCTGTTCCAGACCAAAGGAGTTGAAGCTTCTAACTCAGCCATTCAGGGCCCTGTCTAAAGAATCAGAGTCATAGGTGGCGGTCTTTGTCAAGCATATCCCTTGGTGGAGGGCAGACAGGGGGAGGCATGACTGGAGGGGCTTTAGTGATGGTGCCCTCACCTACATCCCTTCATCACACTCCTTAAATGCCTCAATGCTGCATAAAGTCTTTGGCCCTTCCTCTCAGGCCTTGTACGTCATAAAATGGTATCACAGTGGGGGAGATGTTGAGGACATCATGAGAACCAGGATCAGGCAGAGCCTGAACTGGGGCCCTGAAGGAAGTGGGAGAGTACAGAATACAGCTTTCTGGAAAGAGAGGAGAGGCTGAAGGCACAGCTAGGGAATACGCATGCAGTTCCGGGGCCTCGAGAGGGCCAGACTCGTGCCCATGGAAGCTGTGTGGCAGGCAGCGAAGAACACAGGCTCTGGAGGCAGGTCCCCTAAGTTCACTCTAGCTGTATGACCTTGGCCAAGGTTGTTAGCCTTTCTGTGCCTCAGTTTCCCCATATTCAAAACAAGTGTAAGAATAGTATCTATCTGCAGGCATTATCTGGAGGATAAAGTGAGTGGATATATCTGAGACAGGCTGTCAGCAATCCTGCACTACCCTCTTCCTTCTTTTCTGTAATAATAGACTCCCAGTTTTCAGCTGTGCACATGGCTGCCCAGGATAAAGACTTGACTTCCCAGACTCCCTTGCAACTATGTGTGGTTGTATAACTGTGCCTGGCCAATGAATTATAAGCAGATGCTATCTGACAACTACCTGGGAAGGGCAGCTGGCATGTACTTTTTTCTTTTCTTTTTCTTTTTTTTTTTTTTT